ACAGCAAAGGGGTGGAGGGAACCCCTCCCTAATCAGAGTGTCCTGCCTGCCTGCCTCACCCGTCTTCAGTTCAGTACTATAGAAGGGAAGGGAGGGCTGCTCTAGCACCTCCTGACTTCTAGCCTGAGCCACTGCAGGTATGTGCCAGCATTTCCTCATTTGTCTCTGAGGTTACAAACCAGTTCAGCCTAGCCAGGTGTGGAGGAAACTTACTAGATGCAGGAGAAAGGCGGCGGGATGCCACGTCGGCAGCCAGCGGCAGTGAAAATGAAACCGCGGTGGCAGGAGCCACTGCGGGCAAAGATCAAAAGGAAAACCCGTGGCAGAGCCAGAAGGAACCGGGAATGGCTCCCACATCCATTTGGGCATGCTTTGTAAAAGCATGCCAAGGGCGATTGGCCAGTTGGCCACCTGGTGCCAGGAGAAAAGGCCTGGCAGGAAGGGAGCCAGAGGGACCAGAAGCAGTGTTTTCAACTGGCCCAGAGAGGCCAGAGTGTGGAGGATCCTACGGAGGAGAAGACATGGTGGCGCCCCAGAGGGGGAACCATGGAAAACAAGTTGGGCCAGCGAGGGCCCAAGGAGACACTTACGTGACTGGCGTGGGTAGAGGCCAACAACAGCAGTGACTGGAACACCGACAGAGACGATGGAGCTGGAACCTGGACATGGACATCCAACAACAGGTACCAAACCCAGGGAGGGAACAACGTGACAAGGGGTCCCGAGGTCCAGACGAAGTCAGACACTGCATGAACCAGGAGACACTGAAGGACAGCGGTGGATGCTTGGTACAAGTACCACCTGTAACCCGCAGCCCCCAAGTGACCGAGTGTCAGTGAGGGCCAGAACACCGGCCCCAACGGACAACACCACAGTTGGTGTTAGGTGGGATGTAGGGGAGGTGGAGTCCTGAGAAGCAACAGTCGCAAGGACAACTGAGGGGAAGGACCAGGGGAAACAGGACCAGGCAGCATCCTCCCACTTAAAAACCAGTCAACAAAGATGTGGCAGGCGAGACCTCTGGGGAGCTGACCCAAGGCCACTCCCAGTAGCCTGGCCGTGCAGCCCAGAAGGCAACGGAAGCCCAGACGCGCAACACTCGGGGGGAGAGGCACGGAAAGCTACACCAGGTTAGACTAACCTGCAAAGACTGAATCAGTTCAGTCTCAGGCTCTTTGAATGTCTGTCCCTAGCCATAATGGCCAGGAGAGAAGCATGCAGAGAACTCTGTCTAAAACAGGAACATCCTTTTGTTGTATGTTTACACAATGCCCATCATAACGGGCATCCTGATCTATGACTGAGGCCTTGGGGCATTATTGTAACAACATGCTGTCTACAGCATCTGAAAATTCTTCTCCAGCTCTCACAGCAGCACAGTACATAATCGCATCTAGCACCTTCTCATTCTGTTGCTACAGGCAAACCTCTGGAAAACTGTGCCCAGAGTAGATTAAAACATTTTGCACCCTGTCTGAAGGCAATCTGAAGGCATAATGAAATAAAAGAGTAAAAGAAGTGTACAAACATAAAAAGAGCAAAACAAGAGGGGAAAAAAGCACTGTTTGCCTAGCCATCAATGCAGCATGTGCACTAAAGATTGCATGACTTATTAAAGATTTGTAATAACACACTGATGATTTGGCAGTAAAAACTGCATCACAGACTTAGCCAAAACATATTTTGTTTGAAAATATACAGTGATACACAAGTGTTTTGCCACAGCCTTTTCCCTCAATATTTTTAGCATTTTAGGTTTAGGATCTGATCCAGTCATGCATTTAGGAGTGTCTGCATGTAATGTAAGCATGCAAGTACTCTCACTGAAGTCAGTAGTACCAATGATATGCTTAAAGACTTACATGTTTTAAGTCCTCTGCTGGATCCTTGACTTAGCCTCCTCACAAACAAGATCATCATCATCTATTGCTTGAGAGTCCTGGTACCCCAAACCCCTTGGTTCTGGATGTGTCACTACCTTTCTTCTCACAAATAAACTGGTCACAGAAGCGATTCCGTCTGACTCACAGGACATCTTTGCACACACTACGGGGATGGGGAGGGTGCTTTAATTAGAGCAACTCTGACAGATGCTCTAATTAAAGTGCCCTCAGCGTCTCCTGTATTCAGGGTCCTGTGCTTTTAAATGGTGGTGGGGGAGCTTTAACCAAAGCTCGCTCAATGAGCTTTAGTTAAAGCACCCCTGCCACCATTTTGAAGCATGAAGACACCGAATACATGAGATGTGGAGGCTGCTGAAGGGCACTAATCAGTATGCCCCTACAGACTCAATTAATCAAGTCTGCTCCAACACACTGTAATCACAATGCCTAGAGTGGCATCCCTGCAGGTCTACAGGCACCCATAATGACTAGCATGTAAGAGGGCAAAATTTGAGGGATGGTTTCAAGTGAATTGAGAAGCATACACTAGTAGCCACACCAAATGCTAGTAAGAAAAGGTGCAGGTAGGAACAATGGTCACATGTCATGACTCAGAGTTTCCCTGTTCCCTTTTGGATTGGCCAGGCAATAGTTCTCTCAGAGGAAGGGGCAGGGATACAGAATTGTGAATCTGAACTGTATAAAGCTCCTCAAACACAAGAGTATACACAGGAGTCTGCAATTTGGCTTACCTATGAGGACAGATACTGAGGGACCTGAGAACTTGTATATTTTCTGGAGAAACATTTGCCTAATTGCTAATATTTTGCAATTTCTCCATATTGCTAATATCAAAAAAAAACAGTGCATCATTCAGAGGGATTTGTTTTGCCTCATCTTATACTTCTCTAGAAAGAGTCTCATCCTGGGTGTAACACTATTCCATCTAAATCACTAGCTGTTGTCCAAAAAAACAGTCATCATAAAGAAGGAACAAAGAAGGAGGAGGCTCCCAGCCACAGGAGTTTCTACTTGCTGGTGCAGGGAAAGCCCAGGCTCATGACTCCAGGTTTCCCTTCCACTGGCAATAAGGTGTGATGGGATCCAATTCATAGTCCCACAATCCCACTTTTGGCCATGCATATGTGGGTCAACATTGAAATCTGGTATTGGTTTGTTCATCTTCTGAAGAGATATAGAATATATCTGCTGCTAAATGTCAGTTTAAGCAAAGCTTTCAATGGAAGCAAAGAAGAGCACTCTAAGGGAAAAAAAAAATCATTCTGTTTTTACCTTAGTTTCACCCCTGCTAAGAAGCATCTTCTTACTAATTGCTAGCATTATTCATTAAGAAACTACAGTAAACTCAGCATTGCTAAAGCCACGTAAGATGGCAGTCTCTGTGCCATGGTGTTTATAATTCCAAACACAACAATACAGTGCCCTGCCTGGCTCAGGAGACTGTTTTGTCTTAGAGTGCAGCAATTTATTCTGTACAGCTATGGCGTCAAACATTGCTATGATACGATTATGCACTTTACCCTTTAAGAAGGATAAGGGAAAGAAAAAAAAGTTTCCTCATGTGATATTTATCATTAGAAAGCCAACTATTTTCCCTTCACTTCCTGCATTAAAAAGCTGTTGTTCCATCACTCATCACAGCCAACCCATAATTTTGTGCTGTTTGCATAGCTGGGCAATAGATAGCAGGCAATGTCTTTTCCAGTTTGCAGCACTTCTTTCCACCTGCTGTGTTTAAATTGAGAACTTAGTGATGTCACTAGAATACACAACTTGTTCGCTCTCAGCCCAGGAGGAGGACGGGGTTGTAACTGCAAAGGAAGAATAAACTCTGTTTCATTCCCTTGGATGGTACCATGGTGCATACACAATGCTGGACTAGCTGTTATGACTTAGGGAAGAGTCCCTGAAATCATTCTCATTCTCTAAAACCATCTGCTCAGTGTGCAGTGGTAACCAAAAAAGCTAAAACACTAGGCATCATTAAGAAGGAAATTGAAAACAAAGGGTGCTATACACGTGCTCCAGGAGTAGGGGTGTTGGGGTAGGTGCTTTAATTTGAGTCACTCTAATTAAAGCACACAGAGTGTCTCGTGTATCAGTGTTCCCACATTTAAAAATGGCGGCGGGGTACTTTATCTAAAGCTTGTCGAATGAGCTTTAGATAAAGCGCCTCCACCATCATTTTTAAGTGCAGGGACACCGATATACAAGATGCTGGAGACTGCTAGAGTGTGGTAATTACCACACTTCAGCAGACTCAATTAACTGAGTCTGCTCCTATGCACTGTAATTACGGTACATCAGAGCAGCCTTGCTGCTCATGTATAGGTGCCCAAAATAGAAAACATCATCATGCCACTATACAACTCCATGTTGCACCCACATCTTGAATCCTGTGTGCAGTTCTGGTCTTGGGTGTACATCTCAAAGGGATATAGTAAAATTAGAAAGGTACAGAGAAGGGTAACCAAAGTGATCAGAGGGGTGAAGCAGTTACCATACCACAACAGACTAAAAAACTAGACTCTTTAGTTTGGAAAGGAGAAGGCTGAGAGGGGTCTATAATCCAGAGGGCACCTTAAGGCACAACCAGCAGTGTAGGGATGTAGCTGGGTGCCCAGGGCAAAGCAGAAGTGATAACTTATGGTTGGTGCCACGATTGTGAATGTATATGCAGTGTCCAGCAGCAGCAGCCACTTTTTTTGCAGCCTCCCACTCCAGGTTGGCACCCGGGGTACTTACCCCTAGTCCTCTCCCCACTTCCCCCAGTTACACCACTGGGCACAGCCCTTGCACTCAGGGCCACAAGAGACTCCAGGTGTGACTGGTCCTTGCATGGGACATTGAGAGGTGGAAAAGTAACACCCATCTTGCACAGGTGAAGAAGTTTACCATCATCTAAGCTCAAGCGTGTACAACTACCTCAAACCTTCTGTTTCTATCCTATTAGCCATTCTAGTCCCTCACTCCTTTCTGATACAACCCAAAAAGACAGCACAGTGAAAAGGAAAAATTAAAAGCAAGTCTTTATTCACTCTGGTAATAACAGCCACGGCTCATATAGTGGCAGCCATTTAACGTTGAGTCAGATTCGTCTTTGTTCATCATGTTGAATAGAATCCTTCTTCAGCCACTGAGATAGCTGATGATATTAGAACTGCAATGAAGGATATCAGGATATGACACCTTGTTAGAAGAACCTGACCTTCAATATTTAAAGACACCTGCCTAACAGTAAAAAGGATGCAGAATAATAGATAATATTATTATTTCTCCATATTAAATCTAAAAAAAAAATCACATTCATAATCTGGAGATATATATATTGTACATGTTTTAAATATGACTCATAAAAGCAGATCTTTCTTAGTTTGGTCTCTCTCGACAAAAAAAAAAATAAAAAATTGGTATGTAGCATTTGGGTCCTAAACAGCCAGAGAATGAGAGATTGGCCCTGGGCAGTGCCCTGTGTTTGGAAAAGAAATGCATCATTTCATTGACTCAACCAGTAAAAACAAGGAAACAAAAATCAGTGTGTACTGACTTTCAGACCCCCCGAGGCCAGTTTAGGGGTTGTTTTCTGTTAAAGGTTTAAATTATTTTCATCCTCTTTCTGATGTCTGTGTGTGCATATGTGTGTGTTTTGGCTGCAGCATTTCCTGGAAGGAATGGTGTCCACACAGCTAAACAAAATACCTCCCTCAGGCTAGCCTCAGCTTCACATGTGCTGAAGCATGAAAGGAAATGAGATTTTATAAAAGGAAGAAATAGAGTAAGTTCTGTTAGGGTGCAAGAAAAATCCTATCCTTGGCATCATTAAAGGTCATATTTTATCATCAAGAAAAAATGTTTTAAGCTTGCCCAGTTATGTTTCATAGTAGCTAGGGTCAGGAGGGACCTGATCACATCATCTAGCCTGACCCCCTGCCCCAGGCAGGAATGAATGCTGGGTTCACAAGACCCCAGACAGGTGATCATCTAACCTCTTTTTAAATTTGCCTGAGGTAGGGGCAAGGACCACTTCCCTGGGAAGTTGGTTCCAGATTCTGGCCACCCTAACTGTAAAATATTGCCTTCTTATCTCTAACCTAAACCTGTTCTCCATCAGCTTATTACCATTGTTCCTCGTCACCCCAGGTGGTGCTGGGGAGAAAAGGGCTCTTCCTATTTGCTGATGATCTCCCCTGATGAGTTTGTAGGCAGCCACCAGGTCCCCCCTCAGCCTCCTCTTGCTGAGGCTGAATAGGTTCAGGTCCCTCTGTCTCTCCTTGTAGGGCCTGTCCTGCTGCCCTCTCACCAGATGGGTGGTCCTCCTCTGAACCCTCTCCAGGCTGGCCACATCCTTTTTAAAAGTGCGGCACCCAGTACTGAATGTAGTACTCCAATTGTGGCCTGACCAATGTTGCATAGAGGGGGAGTATCACCTCTCTAGAGCAGCTTGAGATGCATCTTTGGATGCATGACAAGGTATGGCTGGCCTTGCTGACTACGGTCTGGCATTGGCAGCTCATGTTCATCTTGGAGTCAATAATGACTGCAAGATCCCTTTCCGCCTCTGTTCTTTCAAGAAAGGAACTCCCCAGACTGTATGTATGCTGTGGATTCCCTCTCCCAAGGTGCAGCACCTTGCATTTGTCTACGTTGAACCCCATCCTATTCTCATCTGCCCACTTTTGTAGTCTGTCTAAATCTAGTTGCAGCCTCTCTCTCCCTTCAAGCGTGTCCACCTCGCCCCAGATCTTAGTGTCATCAGCAAACTTGGACAGCGTGCTTTCCACCCCCTTGTCCAAGTCGCTGATGAAGCTGTTAAACGGTGCGGGCCCAAGGACCGAGCCCTGGGAGACCCCACCTGCTCACATCTCACCAGGCTGAATACAACCCGTCCACCACTACTCTCTGGGTGCGCCCCATCAGGCAATTTTTTACCCATCCAACTGTGTAGGCATCAATGCCACAGTTGCCTAATTTATTGATGAGAATGGGGTGACCATAGCTGACCAGAGAAGTCCCGGTCCAGCTCCTCCCCCTGGTTGGGTGGTCTGTAGTAGACACCCACCGTAAGGTCCTTTTCATCATGCCCCCTTGTAGTTTGGCCCACAGTGTCTCTGCCTGATTCTCCTCTAACCCAAAGCTAATCCTTGATGTTGTGAGGTGCTCTTTGACATAGAGTGTGACCCCCCTTCCCTTTCCTCTCTGTCCTGTCACTTCTATATAGGGTGTATCCCTGAATGCCCACCGCCCAGTCATGGGTGGGGTCCCACCAGGTTTCTGTGAACCCTACTAAGTCTGGATTCTTACTCACAATCAGGAGGCACAGTTCCTCCTGCTTGTTCCCCATACTACGAGCACTAGCGTAGAGGCACTTGAGGCCTCCTGAGGGTGCACCCACTCACAGAACAGTTGTGGCCCCCTACTCCCAGGACGTTGTTGCTTACCTATGTTGCATAATCTGGGAGACATACAACATAGGTTGCATGTTGGGGTTTTCCCTACCCCTCTTGGAAAAACATCAGAAATAGCCTTTGTAAATCGATTTTAGTCCATATTTTTTTTGCCAGTAAGGTGTTGTCAGCTTCCTTTTCCAAACATTTCTTTTAACACAATCACACACCTTGTAAAATCCAAACTCTGCCTTTCCCTGGAACTCAAACCCCACAGTTCAGATCTTCTCACCAAGCTTGAAACCTTCAAGTTCCTCCTGTAGGGCTACTTAGCTGAAGGACACTGAGAGCAACATCCTTCTCTCCAATATCCAGACAAGGTAACAAACAGCAAATACAATTAACCCTTTCCCAGTAAACTCAACACTCGATAACAAGATTTGGACAAATATATCTATTCATTAAAAGCTAAAGAGATGGCCAAATCTCTATGGAATTATTTTTTTTTTAATTCAAGAAACGATTCTTCATATTGGTAAATGTTACCCTTCTTTGAAGCATGTAGGCAAAGTAGTCTTGCAGAATTTTAAGTCAAACCAGGTTTTCTTTGATTACTTTAAAACGTTAATGACTAAGGTTGACTTCTGCCTTTTTCTTTTCTCATTTTGGTTGTCACAACAGAAGAAATGTGTTGTGGCAACACTATAACCCAAAGTATTCTGGATTGTTTTACTACAGAAGTGCACCATATACTCAAATTATATAGTAAAAGAAATTGACAATAACTTCATTCACATCCAACAGGCGTAATTTCAATCAGGCATAACTTACTGTCAATCAGACATGAAATAGGTTTATGTTCATTGTTTGGTCCATAATATGGAAGCTGTCTTGTTGCTTATTATATGGACTTTTCACATTCAGAGAGATTAATTTAGCTATTGGATGCATCGAAGAGGACTGATTTGTACAGTTTAAATAATGGTTTCACTATTGCAGGCAAATTAGTTCTCTCATTATAACTCTTGGTCAGTTAGCAATGCAGTACTAAAGCATTCTGTCCAGCTCCCTGGAAAGATATCCTAGTCTTATAGAGAGCTAGAAGCTCTTAATCTACAATTAAAGAGCTACTGGCAGTGCACACACCTCAACAAACTCTGGTGCTGGTCTACCTAGAGGATGACAACTTAGAGCTGCTATCAGTTACAGCATTATCTCAGGTGTTGCAGATTACCCCTGATATACCTCCATATAAACAAAAGTGACTTTAAGTGTACTCTTCAGTGTTCCAAGTAACTGCTTAAAAGTAGGGAAATGCCAAATTTGAGTTGCTTATGAAACTATAACATGGCCCCCCATTGGCATATTTATTGTTAATTGGCCTTCAATTATATTTTTGTACACTATTTTATCCATTCCCTCCTTCATAAAGGCCAGGTACCAACATTACATTTATTGCACAGTAAGTACGCAGAAAGTACTCTACAGCCATAACCAAACAGACAATCAGGGCACATAGGCTAGAGACAGACATTACACATAAACCAGTTTAAGTGATCAGAAACTGGTTTAAACCTGTAACAGAACAGATATTCAGCGCACATAAACCAGCTTGAGAATGGCTGAAACTGGTTTGAGATAAACCTGGTTGAATGTGGTATCAGACTTAACTGATTTGGCTCAAACCAGTTTATTCAATGTCTGTCCCAGACCCTGTGCTGGTTTAAATTAAATCAGACTCCCACAGCATCCCAGTATGCTTCACGGATGGGTGGGGCGCTCTGTTCCACAACAGGGCTGGCCCTCTTCTCTGCTCCCTGGCTGCAGCTCCCAGTCTCTGCAGGCATCTGCCTGGCTTCTGCTCTCCCCACTCCCCTCCCCACTCTCTGCTAAGCAGGCATTCCCCCTATCCCACAGACACTTCTCAACATTAGCTAGCAGGCCACATGCTGGCTACCTCTGAGCTGCGGCAGAGGGGACAAAAGGACAATCAGCAGATAGCTGGTAATGTCCCTCTGTTGTTTTCTTCATGGGATGATAAACACTGAGTTAGGGGTGATAAACATTTCCTGCTGGGCTGGTCAGGAAGGGGGGAACCCCACCCTAATCACAGCATCCTGCCAGGGCCTGGCTACAAGCCCGTCAGCTCAGCTCTGTGAAAGGGAAGGGAGAGCTGCTCTAGTCCATTCCCCCCCCGCCCCCCCTCCCCAAACTTCTAGCCTGAGCCACTGCAGGCATATAACTGCATTTGTGGAATGTCTGTCTGGTTACATAACTGATTTAGCCTAGCCAGGTTGGTCTAACCTGCAAAGATTTAATCAATTTAGGGTCATGCTTTTTGAATGTCTGTCCCTAGCTATAGAGAGCAGTAAAATGGAGGATTCCACTCTAAGATAACTCTGGATGGATTTGGTATGAGACTTCAGTGCTGTAGATTAGAGTGCTGTAACGAAGATCTGTACCAGATCCCATCGCAACTCACGTTAATCGCATTCCGTCACCACCCACAGGACTTTGCAACACCTTGCTCACTCCACCCGCAAACACACAGAAACCAGGCATCTGAGACATGCATATGCATTTGGTGGGTGTAGGTTGCGCTGGATGGCCACACGCAGGACAGCTGGCTGGTGGTCATGAGGGTGCATGCCATAATGAGCTGCTGGCACATCAGGTCCAAGTGGGCAGCGATGGTGTCCCCTAACCTCCAGCAAGACTCAGACAGGGTGTCCAGGAGGACCTGATGCAGCTCCTGGCATAAATGACACATGCTGCCAGAGGCTGGGGGGGTGCACGGCAACTGCCCACAGGTGGTGGTGGTAGTGACAGCAGCAGCGATGGTGTGAGTTTTGACCAGCGGTTGGCAACCACCTGCAGATGTCACCAGCAGTGTTGGCAGCAGCCAGTTGCAATCAGCAACTGCCCACAGACACCACCATTGGCAGCAAGGGGGTGGGGTGTGGGACTGGTGACTGCCCGCAGGTGCTGTCAGCAGCACTTCTCTCAGGGGGTACACCGCCAATCTCTAGGGGTATATGTACACCCATGTGCACCCCCTACACATCGCCAATGGCTCCTGGGGATAGCTGCTTGGGCACCCAAGTGAGAAAACAGGCATGTGCAAGTCATGACAGCAGGGGGTTGGGAGCACGACTGCCCTTGCTCAGCAGCCAATCAGCATGGCTCAGCCATTTGACTCCTGTTCTGTTTGCTCTAGACCTAACCTTGGACACTTAGAGTAAAGCTCCAAAGTTAGAATGCTTCTGCCTTGGGCTTCTTAAATGCCTGTACTTAGCCATAGCACACTGGATAAGCCTTGCTCTGGGGATCAATGAGGGTTCAGTGAAGGAGGCTGCTGTCAATAAGTCCCTGGCTTCACTTTTTTTTTTGTGCAGTTGAAAGTTGTATTATGAATGAAACAGGACTGCAGGAAAAGGAGATGGCCACTGAATGCTATTAAGGCAGCCGAATGCTACCCTGAAGAATTGAATCATCATCATCACAGAGTGTGTGCGATGCTAAGTCACATAAAAGAAACTTTTCACTGGTAATCTCTAACTGTATATATTGTTTTCTGGGTGCTGCTCTTGAGGTACCACATCTGTTTTGCAGAAGTGCCGAGTACTTACAGCTACAACTAAAGTCAAGGGAAGCTATACTCCAAACGCTGATGTTCTGAAAAAAATGAGGTGCCAGACATCCCAAATAAGGCATTCAAAAATTAAGGAATGCTTTATCTTCATATCTCAGGGTACGTTTGTACCAATTCTCTGACATGCCCAAGTGTGTTGCCAACCCTCTTCCATACCATGTGCCCCAACCCAGAATCTAGGCAGTGAACCCATGCTGGGGGCACCCCGCTGCTGCCACTTTTGACCTCATCTCAACAGAGAGCGTTGTGAAAAAACTATGAAGCACTTCCGACTTGCCATTATTCTGTGGTATTAAATTTCATCCGATTTCTACTGTTTTAGTCCTGCAGGTCATCCAATTGGTTTCTGTTTGATCATCTGATCACCTTCTGTGTTGACAACAGGAGCATCCTGGTGAGCCCCCCTTGCATAACCCACCAGGAAATTAAGAATTCTGTCTTCAGAGCAGGGTTTAAATAGCACATATATAAGGCCTGGGGCCACACATTGAACAAAAAATTGAATAGCTGCTCAATGGCATGGGATCATTACTTAAAAAGCTATATTGTAATGATTATACATGGGGAAGGGGCAATTAAGGTTACACAGTAAACCGGAGCTGATATTTTCTAATCTGTAAGTGCTTGACTTTATGTATTGTTGGGACATAGAACTGAAAAGGGGTCTCCCATCTCTAATTTACCAAGAGCATTGGTTTGGTAAATCACTCACTCATACATTTATATGGAAATGCTTGATACCAAACTGAAACGTTGAAATCCACATACAATCCTAAAGCAACAAACCAGAATTTTTCTTCTCCATTTCCACATAGTGCTACTATTTTGTACTTGCCAGCAAGAGACAAAAGCATTTGTGCTTTTGTTATGCTGAAAATGTTGCAGAAATCCAGGGTTAAGATTGAACAGATGGTAATCTGTGTGACAAACAAAGATAATCATCATGTTGGAGATAATGCTTAGGCCATGTGCATCTTTCTGCTACTGAGAACTCATTGTTTCACACAAACTGTTTTGGTATAAAAGTAGACTATGGTCACACTGTGCAAGGTAAACTGGAAGGATCCCTCCTCCCCTCCATATTTAGCCATAAATTACCTGGCAACAATCAGTCTCCTATGCATAAGTTTGCTCTTAAGGGACAGCCTTTTAAAAACTATAGATATTGCATTTTATTTACATTACACTACCAACTTAACCACTACTTGACTGTTTCATATAATCAGGGCAGCATTAAAATGCAAAATACCTTTTCTTGGAGTTTGTGAAATACGCTCTATTATTTTAAGAGGACACTAATTGCAAAGATAGCCTCAAGTCTCAGCAAGCTGGAATGTTGCTACCACGTAATGAATCAGGATTTCTCCTTTCTGATAAGATTGCTTCTTATCCCAATAGAAAAGTTGGATGCCCATTTTTCAGCTTGGCAAGCTGCTTTTAATTCATTTAATGATTTTGTCCGCTAAACCACTGCAGCATCAAAGTGTGAATCACACTATTTCAAAGGACTGATTGTGAAATAAATATGAACAGGAACAGCAGGGGTCTGTTTTGTCTTTGGGAATCACAGTTTCTTTTTCATTATATGCTCTTAAAAATCCCAGACAGCCTATTACCAAAAGGGATGACTGACAGAATCATATTTACATTTTTAAACCAAGCCTAGCCTCAAAAAATTTCAGCAAAAACATAAGAGGAAATTAATGTGTTTGTTTTTTAGCAAAAGCTAATTATTGTCCCAAGGTTGAGACTCTGAGGGGAGGGGAGGTACATAGACTTGTTTAATCTAATTGCATCATAACCAGGGCGGTTAGGGTGAATTTCTTCTGTCAAATTCAGTATTTCTACAGACCAATTCACTGTTTTTCAGCTACCTTAATTTTTTTTTAAAGTTAGCTAAGTTAGTTTCTAAGGTACCACCCTGCCCTGCCTTCATAAATGGGACATTGGCAAGTGTAGTTCATAAGCAGAGGAACTAGGATTGATTTCCTCTGCCCCTGCCCCCCTTCCCAAGAGAGAGATAAGAAGAATAGGAGAAAAAGAGAAAGTTAAATCGAAAAGTACATTTTTTTTTAAGAAGGCACGTGTATTAAATGTACTTTCCCTAATATCATTCCTGA